TTTCCACCCAATGGTGATCAATTGCTTGCTCAGCAGACAACTGTGACTGCATCAGGATTACCGACGCCTACACACGGCCTCTAGAACTAAAATGCTGCCTGCCACAGTCAATTTTGAAGAAACGCAAGACTTGCTGACCTGGCTTCTTTATCACTCCAGGCAACTTCCCCCTCCCCCCCAAAAAGAAGCCAACTTTCAGAATTGGTTCATTGGGTTATGGGCTCCATGACACGTTTACGATTCAACTAACTCGCTCCAACTTCGGACTCCGAGGACCGAACCTTTTGGGTCACAATCTGCTATTGATTGAATTGTCACTGTTAGCATAAACTCCGAGCACGATGACTTTTAATCACGCATCCTCATATCGGTAAGATGATGATCACTGGAGTAGAGTCAAGTCTCCCATCCAGGTCCTCATCTTCTGTAGGGAAGACCCTAGAGATGCACATTGTGATTCCAGCTCGCAGAAACATCCACCAATCGCGAAAACTGAGACCCTCGACGACACGGCCGGATCCCTTCCGACTGCATCTTCAAGTCGCAATGAGGCTGCTCCTCCAACGTATAGGGCACCGGCAGCGCTTACCGCAATTGACTCAGCCAGCATCAACGGCCGCAAGCAGACCGCTACCCCAAACATCGATCTCCTCAGGCTGACCAGTGAAGATGCGGGGGCGGGATGCCGCTGCAGTAATAGAACGTGGGGGAAGTGAGGGGTCGCGCGTCCTCACGCCCAACTTACACTCTAATCCGTCGCATCTTGGTGTATCGCCGGGCGATTCTGCCTCGTCATAGGTAGGATGTGCTCTTGAACCCGCGTCTGTTCGCCTTGCGACGTGATAGTGCAGCTCCTATTAGCACATACCATTAGCTGGGGGGCTGCCATTGACTGCGTGGAGGGGCTCGATATCGCCTCGCGAGTCACTGCCACCTCGGAATAGCTCCCCTCGGATCCGAACGAGACATGCAGCCTCCCGTTCTTTGTAGCTCCCTGAACATCGGACGTGGTCAACGTTGCTATGAGGGGTTTTGAGGGGGTTACTTTGTATAAAAGCTTAGCGGCTGTCGCGTGTGTGAGGAAATAAAGTTGATGGTAACCCTCGAGTACTGGCCTTCGTTTTGTCCTAGTCAGTAATAACCACTTAGTACCAAGCCAGCCCAATTGATCCAAATACTTGCACGCTGTGCCAAACCTTTGTCATGGCACCGTCGGCAATCGAAAAGATAGCTTCGACTATAACCCCTTTTGCGACCGACCGTCCCCGGATTCTGGTCCCTGAGAAGGTGTCTTCCGATGGCCTTGCTCTTTTGAAGGACAAGTACGACGTTGACAACCGCACTGGCCTGTCTGCAGACGAGCTTGTCGAGGCGATTCCCAATTACCATGCCCTCATTGTCCGATCCGAGACAAAAGTGAACGCTGCCGTTCTCGCGGCCGGCAGAAAGCTTCGCGTCGTGGCACGAGCCGGCGTAGGCGTGGATAACATCGACGTGGACGCCGCCACCAATCATGGCATCATCGTCGTCAACTCGCCTGCGGGCAACATTCTCGCCGCAGCAGAGCACACGATTGCCCTCCTCCTCGCAACAGCCCGTAACCTCGGGCGCGCGGATACCACGATGAAGGACGGCAAGTGGGAGCGAGGCAAGCTCGTCGGCGTCGAAGTCGGCAACAAGACGCTCGGGATCATTGGGCTCGGCAAGGTGGGTATGAAGGTTGCCCGCATGGCCATTGGTCTCGGGATGAAGGTGAAGGCGGTAGACCCGTACGCCAGCAACGAGATTGCGCGTCAAGCCAACGTGGAGCTCGTGGCCGACCTTCAGTCGCTCTTGCCGGTGGTCGACTTCCTGACGATCCATACCCCGCTGATGGCCAGTACGCTGGACCTGTTGAAGGAGGAGGAGTTTCAAAAGATGAAGAAGACGGCGCGAGTATTGAACGTCGCTCGAGGAGGCGTGTACAACGAAGCAGCACTCCTGCGAGCCTTGGATGAAGGCTGGATCGCTGGAGCTGGTCTGGACGTGTTCACTTCCGAGCCTCCCAAAGCAAACTCGACGGCAGCTGAATTGACCAAGCACCCGAAGGTGGTCGCAACCCCACATCTGGGAGCGTCGACCGTGGAAGCCCAAGAAAACGTCTCGATGGATGTTTGCACCCAGGTGGCTGAGATTCTCCAAGGCGGTCTCCCAACGGCAGCCGTCAATGCCCCGTTGATCATGCCGGAGGAGTATCGCAAGCTGCAGCCGTTCGTACGGCTCGTCGAGAAGATGGGCGGGCTGTATACGCAACACTTTGTCGGCAGCAAAGGCGGCATGGTGGGCGGTCGGAGGTTCGAACTGATCTACCAAGGCGAACTAGCAGGCACCTCCAACACCCGGCCGCTCTTCGCGGCGTTGGTGAAGGGTCTCGTGTCGTCTATCACCGACTCTGGCGGGCGAGACGTGAACATCGTCAACGCCAGTCTTATCGCCAAGGAGAAGGGCATGATCATCAGCGAGACGCACAGCGGTGAGGCCAAGAACGCGGTGTATGCCAGTCTGGTGACTCTGCGGTCGCACGGCGAGGACGGCGAGCAGGTGATTGAGGGATATGTGTCGGGGCAGAGCATATACATCTCCAAGCTGGACCGGTTCAGTGCGACGTTCCAGCCGCAGGGGACGCTGCTGGTGCTGCACAACTATGACGAGCCAGGCAAGATTGGTGGTGTCGGAACGGCGCTGGGGCGGCATGGGATCAACATCACCTTCATGCAGGTGGCCAGCTTGGACGGGGAGGAGAGGAGAGCAGAGGGCGGCAATGAAGCTCTCATGATCTTGGGTGTGAAGGGAGAGATTGGTGGTGGAGTTGTGGAGGATTTGCAGCGAGCCGAAGGAATCCTGAATGTGAGCTTGGTGAGGCTGTGAGGAGGAGTCGTTGGTGGTGATGGTGTTGGTGATGATGAGTGATTATGTGTGTAAGTGAGAGCTTGTTTCTAGGGCGCCCGCAATTGAGGAGAATAAGGTCAAGTGGGTTGCAGTTGCGAGGAGCCACTTGAGCAGCTGCAGGAGCTCTCATTGAGACGTGAGGTGGCCCCCCACGAGTTCGCGGAGCTTGGCAAAGGTTGAGATCCTATTGGCGAGTTGAGGGGCTCTGGACGGGTTGGAGACTGTTGGCGCAGGGCAGTGCAAGAAAAAACGCAACCCAGACAAGGTCATTTGAATGCCTAACTAGATAGGTAGACGGGAACCCTGAGTAACAAGGTTTTTGGCAATTTCGCCGATGCAGGTTGTGCCACCATATCTCTCATCAATAAGCCAACAATTGCGTGTTGCAGAGAGAGTTGACAAGATTGAGCTCGGGTGCCGGCAGACGACGGGCAACGCAACGTTGTTTCTGATTGGGTTTCGCCCGGCTCAATGCCTCCGTCGGCTGATGCAACTCTTGCGACAACCCACAGCCCGGCAAAGGACGGGACGCACGAGAGAAGAAAAAGCAGGTGGCGCGGAGGATTTCTAGAAGGGGGATCGTTCACAGCTCAGGGTCTGTGAGGGAATGACGCAGGGTCCGAGGTTGGTGACAACTCGCTGACTCCATGTCAGTTTGGTCGGGACAGCTCATTGGGCACGTGGGCGCTTTTCATGTAAGTGGACACTCAGATAAGGTCGGGTCACTTAAAGGTAGGCCACAGCATGCAAGCCGTTATGTACCTGGATTGTGGATGTCATCCATGGATGCATAATTTGTACCCCTGCACCACGCGATTAAGGTGAGGTACCTGCTGGCGAGCTGTCCAGAGCCGCCCTCTGAAAGTCGAGAACTCGGGGTCAGGGACAGGCCACTAACAAGGAGCCCCAATCGCGCCGAACTGAATGTTAACCATGACTCTGGGTCGAAAGCTTGTGATTTTGTGTCAGTCAGCACTTTAGCTCTGTCAGACGTATGTGTCTGTTTATCTCTCGTGTGTCCATGCAGAGCACGACCCGAGATAAGGATTGGTAGGTTGGTTGGCCAAGACATGTGCTGTCTGTCTGTCTGTCGTCTGCTGTAGTTACCTTTTAGCTACCTTAGGTTGTCAGCTTTGGAAAAGACTCAAAACGACGGGAGGCAGGTATGCACAGCACACTCAATTACCCCGGATTCTGCACAAATGCCTTATGACGAGACATTTTCCGTTCTTGCGCCAAAAGAAAGGCGGGGGGCCAAGCGAGACGAAGGATGGGCTTTTTGGGTTTCTCGCGCCAGCCGAATAGCCGTCCAGCGCAAGTCCAACAGTGCATGCCAGTCAGATTTAACCCTTGTGTCTACAGCAGAGATACGGATACATGCCACTGCCAGTGCCGGTGCGGGAGGTTGAAGGTCACTGCGGCAATGATGCATCATTCGCGCTCCTCGCATCGCTGCAGCCCGCCCCCCCTCGACCGTTGATGACGCCAAGCTTGTGCGCCTCCGCAGGCGTTGATTGGCTGGCTGCCCGCCGACAGAGGAAAGCTTCCGGCAGCGAGCACTGGCAGTGGCAGTCGACCTCCACTAACAGACAAACACTGAACAGACCTCTCTGATCTTTTTTTGTTTTTTCTTAATTCTCATCCATCTCCGGTACTTACTACCGGTCTATACCTACCTAGACCTCAAACACCCAGCTACCGTACCTACAATCCTACGATATTTTCTTCTTCATCGCTCCCCCATTGCTTGCCGACTGCTGCAATACCCGCGCCTCGAACCACCACCCACTGTTGACACCCACCTGGTCTTCCGATCTTGGCTCGTCAGTGGAGCTCACCCGCCTTGCCTGGTGCACTTGCGTACGCACCGCAGCTGCAGGTAAACACAGAGTGGAGCCGAACCACCCTGAGTGCACCGAGAATCCACCTACAGCCTGAGGTCGTGCTGCCCCGTTTCTCTGTTGCCCGCGTCCGCCGCATAAAATGTGCGCTTGACCTTGCGTCCTCTTCACTCGCACACTCCACGTCTATTACCACGACTACCGAATCTCTCTTCAATTGACGAGCCGACTATGGCCACGACACGGCCGAGAAGCTATGGCGGCTCCTTTGGCACCATCCGCACCGGCGTCCTTGGGATGTCCAGGGCCTTGACCCTGGGCATCTCTTCCGTCGCCGCTGCCCCCATCTACGCGAGAGGCGAAGGCGAATCCGAGGGTCCAGCAGAAGGCGACGATGTCTGGATTCTCTACGTTGCTTCCATGATTCTTGTCCTCGCCGGAGGCGCCTTCGCTGGCTTGACCATTGCGTAAGTTATCAATCCAACTCCTACTACTGATTGCCCCCGTACCTAGTTGCTGACCTTGGCAAAAACAGCCTCATGGGACAGGATAGCATCTACCTCCAGGTCCTCGCTGGCGACCCCGACGAATCCCAATCCAAGAACGCGAAACGCGTCTACGATTTGCTCAAGAAGGGAAAGCATTGGGTCTTGGTTACTTTGCTGTTGTCCAACGTCATCGTCAACGAATCGCTACCTATTGTGTTGGACCGCTGTCTCGGTGGAGGTGTAACCGCCGTTGTTGGCAGTACTATTCTCATCGGTAAGTTTTGCAAATCCCCGGCTCCGAGCTTAACATCAGCTAAGCATTTGCCCAGTCATTTTCGGTGAAGTCGTTCCCCAATCCGTCTGCGTCCGTTACGGTCTTCCGATCGGTGGCTTCATGTCCAAGCCGGTGCTCTTGCTCATGTGGCTTATGGCGCCCATTGCTTGGCCCATTGCTAAGCTTCTTGACTGGGCTCTCGGCGAGGACCACGGCACCACATACAAGAAGAGCGGTCTCAAGACGCTTGTCACCCTGCACAAGTCTCTTGGCGCGGCCGGTGAACGTCTAAACCAGGACGAGGTTACCATCATCAGCGCCGTTTTGGACCTGAAGGAAAAGCCTGTCGCGAACGTCATGACCCCCATGGGCGATGTGTTCACCATGGCCGAGGACACCGTGCTTGATGAGAAGACCATGGACATAATTCTGTCCGAGGGCTACTCCCGCATTCCAATCCACGCCACCGGTAAGCCCACCGACTTTGTCGGTATGCTCCTCGTCAAGATCCTCATCACCTACGACCCCGAGGACGCCTTGCAGGTCAAGGACTTCCCTCTCGCCACCCTTCCCGAGACACGCCCCGAGACGAGCTGCTTGGACATTGTCAACTTTTTCCAGGAGGGCAAGTCCCACATGGTCCTTGTTTCCGAGTACCCTGGTGCCGACTATGGTGCCATCGGTGTCGTCACTCTTGAGGACGTCATCGAGGAGCTCATTGGAGAGTGAGTAATCTCTGTCTGGCGCTTCTCACATTGTGCTAACACATTCACAGGGAAATCATCGACGAGTCTGATGTCTATATTGATGTCCACAAAGCCATCCGCCGTTTGACCCCTGCGCCGAAGGCCCGACCCATTAAGCGATCCACCGAGCCGTCGCCCCGGGTGATTCCTGAGAACGGCGATCTCATCGAATTCGATCGCGAAGTTCCCCACGAGCGCAATGGCTCTGTCAGCGCCATGAGCGACGCGCCTCAGCACCTGTCCAGCAGCCCCGGAAAGATGACGACCTTCTTGATGCGCAGGAGCTCCGCCGGCCCGGATGGGCGTCTGACCTCGACTGCCGTACCCGTGAAGGCCACCTTCGACGAGGCCAAGCAGCACCTGAAGCACCTTGGTCCTTCGAACCGCGCATCGAACCCCAAAAACACAAAGTCCACTACCGTCAAGATTAAGCCCGTCCAGACTGGTGCACCCCTGCACCAGGTGCATAGCCCTCCGCCTGCATCTGCCGGTCTTCGCCCTGCCTCTGTTGCTGGCGACATTTCCGAGGAAAGGCATGAAGAAGAAAACGAGAACACCCCGCTCATCCGACCCAAGCTTACCGGCAAGGGTGGCGTCCACGCCGTGCGTAGGAGCTACGGCGTCGCGGGCATGAGCGACACTCAGGCCAGGCTCGCCAGCAGCTCACCTCACCATGAAGACGACAAGGCAGCCGATCAGGTGGACCTGCCTCCGACTGTGCCTGAGAATGGCAACAGCCCCGAGGCCAGCCGCACGGATTTGACGATTATTGTTTCACCCGGAAAGGCCAGTAACTCGCCCAGCGTCACCAGCGTCATTGAGGACGGATCTTCGACTCCCAGGCGTAGGACTCTTGTTCGAAGCGGTAGTATCAGCGAGAACGTGGTTGAGACAAGTAGTGGTGTGCGAAAGATCATCATCCAGGCCGCTAGCTCCGACTCGGAAGACAACGGATCTAAGGGCTCCTCTGGCCACCGCTCGCGTACCACTAGCCAGTCCAACATCCTGTCTAGTCAGGAATCCGAGGAACACGACGAGAATGAAAACGGCGAAGCATCAAGTACGGCGCCGAGCACAAGTACTGGCGGCCAACAAGCCAGCAAAAAGAAGAACAGACGGAAGAAGAGAAAGGGTAACAAATAGAGGAAACGTGCGTAGGGGATCGTCGAATTTCGTGCTTGTATGATATCGATAGTAATTTGAGCGGCTACCACGGTACGCCTTTTCTGTAACCTATACAACGGCACCGCGCACATTACACACAATCGCATCAATCTGGTATTTAATATTTATCATCAAATTTTGTAGTTTTGTCTTATGTGATGTGTGAACCCAGCATCCGGGGCTCTCTATATCCAAACATTACCCATCCATCTCTTTAGTCGTACCAGATGGCGTTCATGCCGAAACCAGGCTCAGGGATGCGCAACCTCGCGACGCGGCCGAGGAACTCGTCGTGCCAGCGGTAGATCTCGATCCAGCCCTCCTGGTCGTCCGTGATGGCCAGCCACTCATCGCTCCAGTCGCACGGGCTGACGGCGTTGCTGTGTCCACCGCTCGTCGGGGTGGGGTTGAGGCAGATCTGCCTCTCGATGTGGCCGTTGTCGTCGAGCTTGAAGGCGGCGATGTAGCCGGTCACGTCGAAGCTGTTGGAGCGGGCGGTGGCGAAGAGGTACTTGCCGCTGTGGGAGAGGGTGCAGACGTCGGAGCGGTACATTTTGCTGTTGGCGCCGGGGATGCCCGGGGGAATGAGGGGGAAGGAGCGGTGGGTGTAGACGGGCAGCTTGGTGGCGGGGTCGATCACGTACTCGCAGAGGCGGTTGCCGGCCTCCATGAGGGCGTAGAGGTACGCGCCCGAGGGGTGGAGGGCGACCCAGCGCGGGTGGTCGCCCGGGTCCGGGGCGTCGACGGAACCGACGAGGTCGAGCTCGGGGGAGTCGGGGGCGCGCTTCTTGTGAACCCAGAGCTTGTTGGCGGTCAGGTCGGCGGAGTAGAGGTAGGTTTCCGTGGGGTCGAAGACCATGCCGTGGATGCCGGTGTTGGGGTCGTAGGGGTAGTTCTGGACGTTGGTCTCGAGCTTGCCGGTGGGGGAGACGGAGAAGATGTTGCCGTGGGAGGCGTGCTTGTAGAAGGGGTTGCAGTAGACGGCGTAGGGCGGCTTTTGGGCTGCGAGGAGGAAGATTGCGCGGGTGTTTGTTGTTGAGAGGGCGGCGTTGGCTGTGCGGGTGGGTGTTAGTGATGGGGTTTTTGGGAGACAAGGTGAGGGTGAGCATACGGTCATGGGTCATGTCGTGAGAGGCCTCGTGGATGATCTCAGAGGGGCTCTTGACGGCGAAGCTGGACCACTTCTTCATGGCGGCGCCGTAGAGGTTCTTCTTGTCATGCTGTCGACGGGGTTGTGTAAGCCAATTGGTCAATGGCAGACAGACACTCCAAAAGGAGGGAGGGTTCAGTCACTCACGCTAAAGGTCATCCATGATATGGGCTGTTCCTGGGGGATCTCGGTGCGCTTGACGAGCTCGAGGGTGAACTTTTCATCGTCGAAGGCGACGGTGAAGATGGCACCTGGGGGCGTCCAGGTGCCGATCATGAGGTGGTGGATGGTCATTTTGAGCGGCGTTGTCGAGAAGGACCTGGTGTATGTAGATGCCCGATGACGTGTGAAGAGGCGGGATGTTCTCGACAGGAGCATGGGCTGGATGCGTCACTGAGGCGCGAAAGGATGTAAGAGAGGAAACACGTGAAATGGGATGGGGAAAAAAAAGGGAAGAAGAGGGAAAAAAGAGAAAAGTCGCGTGTGGTTTTACGGTTCGGAATGACTAGGAGCGAGGGTTCCCGGGTAGTCCCACCGAGGCAGCATTACCTTAGAGCTCCGTTCCTAGCTGGCTAATGATTATGAGAGGTTTCCACCTTGCATCGCAAAAGCTCTTTTGGCCCAGAGAAGGGGGAGAAGAAAGAAGCTCTCTCGTGCTGCCCCTCGTTTCCGAACCCCGGACGACGAGGGGCAGCGGTTTGGCATGCGCATGGAGAAGGGCGACCCGCTGGGATGTGGGGTTTTTGGAGAGTTGGAGGGGCCGTTCGGGAGATGTGGCGGTAATTGGGTGCTGAGAGGTCGCTTTCCGGCAGAGTGTTCTTCCTCCGCTTGAGCTGGGTTGTCTTTCGCCCAAGAGGCTTTGCTGCAGTGCCGTCTTCAGGAATTATGATTTCACGGTCCGGTGGTGATGGGTGGATTATAATCAGACGAGGCTGGTTCGTTCGATTTGATCGGGGCTTCTCACAATGTGCATCTTGACATATACTGAAGACTGGCGGTCGTCCGAACTATGTCTCTTCATGTGTGTTCAATTGCCGGACCTCGACCTTCTGTCATCGGTATCATGATTCGAGATTCATGATCCAGCGAGCGATGAGGGACGAGACCTCTTGCAAGCTGCGTTTCTCCCCGTACCCACGGCGACACGGCAGTGACACCCGGCTGCTGGACAGGAACTTGTCGGTCGAAAAGACTCCGTCAGCGGAGCCATGGCTAGTCAGTCTTCCGAGGTTCTCATCGTATCCCCACCTAAACCCCCTGTTCCCCCGGGTTCTCCATCTTAGCTTCGCAAGTGTGGTTGAAGCCAGCCACTCAGGTTCGGGCAGAGACAAATAGCAGTGTGGTGGGGAGCAAAGACGCTCGCTACCTAGAGGAACTCATCTCATAAGAAGTTGTGTGCGTGAGACAAGCGAAGACTTCGCCGTCGATAACTCCAAGCATCTCTTCAACGGCATCGGCATAAACCAGCATCTGAATTGACTTTCTTCCCCTGCAACGTTGGCTCGTGTGTTTTGTCTTGGGTGATTCGAGGGTGGTTCCATTGCGACCCGCCATACAGAAAGTTTAACACACTTCACAAGTATTAATCAACTCAATGCTCCCGTTCCGTTGCCCGTTGCGATGTTTTGGTCTGTTCTGTGATTTTGGTGCTTTGCCTGCTCTTAAGCTCTTATTGCAACATGTTGCTGCCATTTTCTTCAAGAACACTCGTATCTGGTTGCCGCCAAGTTGCAACACGTAGTCTTCGTCAACGGCCGCAACTCACAACTCCCTTGTCACTAACACAACCCTGCGCAAAATGGGCTTCGAGTGCGACAAAAGGTGGCGGCCGCAACAAGAAGCCTACGACCCATAGATTTGATCCTACCTTCACTCAACGTGTAATTGATACCATGGGTCCTAACATGACCCCTCGAAACCGACAAATCATGACCTCCTTCATCCGCCACCTTCACGATTTCACGCGCGAAGTCGAGTTGACGATGGATGAATGGATGACGGCTGTCCATTTCGTCAACTCCGTGGGTCAGATATCGAACAAAACTCGCAACGAAGCCCATCGCGTGTCTGACATCCTCGGCCTCGAATCGTGAGTCTCAAGTCGCTGTCCCAAAACCAGTCTTGTGATTGACAATAGACTACATAAAGACTCGTTGATGAGATTGCGAACAAAATCGTTACAGAAGGCAACCTCGACCCAACTTCTTCGTCCATTCTCGGCCCCTTCTGGTCGCCTGATGCGCCTTTCCGTGAGCTAGGAGACAGTATCATCCAAGATCCAGCGCCCGACGGCCGGGTTTGCAAGATGCACGGCGCCATCACCGATCTCAGCACGGGGAAGGGCATCCCAGGAGCAGTGTTCGATATCTGGCAGGCGTCGTCGAACGGCCGTTATGATTTCCAGGACCCGGAGAACCAAACGCCCAACAACCTTCGAGGCAAATTCCGCGCAAATGAGGAGGGAAGGTACTGGTTCTATTGCTACCATCCGACGGCATACAGCCTTCCCCGCGATGGACCCAGTTTCAAGCTGTTGAACATGATGGATCGGCACCCGATGCGGCCGGCGCATATCCATATAATGGTCAGTAGCATGCTTCCTCTGAAGGGATTTGAGGTGGTAAGCTTACGCGATGAAAACAGGTCACACACCCAGAGTTCAGGGGATGCACCACCCAGCTGTACCCCAACGACGATCCCTGGCTCTCAACCGACACCGTCTTCGCAGTCAAGGACGATCTCCTGTGCGACTTCAAACCTCTCAAGGGCGACGACAAGGCTGAGCTCGAGCTCGAGTACAACGTCATCCTCGCTCCAAGGGATTACAAGGCCAAGAACACATAACCAGGCCCCCAGGATCAGGCTGCGGGTACTTGGCCCTGTGGTTGCCGATCTCCAATTCTTAGCCAATTTTCCCGTATGTCTTACACAAATAATCTAGCATGACCAATAGAAACACACGAGATGTCTCCTGCAAGTAAGCCTCGGAGGAAGCCTGGGAGGCGCATGCTGCAGGCGGTGTTAGACAAGGCCTCGCTTAGTGCTGCTGAAGTCGAGACCAACACGCGTGTTGCCAAGTTCATCATTCTGTCCCCGTTCATCCACTTTCTCTGTTTAATTTGATTCGATTGATACTCTCTCGTGACGATTGGCGCAACTCATGATGGAAACATTGGAGGATGCCATTGAGGGTCTTTGGTCTTTCTCAGACCACAGCGACCGGCACCACCAAAACGTCGAAGCCACACATCCAGAGACGTGTCAGTGGGTATTTGGCAACTTGACGTACCATGAGTGGGAACAGGACGAAGGCAGGGCTCTTTTGGTCACCGGTCCTCCGGGCATAGGAAAGTCATTCCTAGCGTCGGCAGTCATCGAAGAGCTCCGTGGGCTGAGATCAGTCGCGTACTTCTTTTGCGATCAGTTCCCCGCTGCGACAGCTGATTCCTTTTACAAATGCATCCTAGCACAGCTTGCGGGGGACATTGGCGCCAGTACAGACGTTCTGTTACAACTACAACTTTTGGTCAAAGAGGCTGGTGAGAGTGTTCTTGACGAGGGCCAAAGGCGATTTGCCTTGGATCTAGTAAGACGCAAGAATGGCTACCAGAAAAGTCCCTGTTTGATCATTGACGGGATACATGAGCTGAGAGACGACAGCTTGCTACATCTCATCTCGGCGGTTCGAATGCTTCAAGACGAGTACGACTTCAATATTCTAATCACTTCAAGATGCATATTTCCGCAGCTGGAGGTCCTCGATTCCGCCGGCACCCTGGAGATTACCAGTAAAGACACTGACGATGACTTGACACGATACATCAAGCATCGTCTTGAAGACAATGAAGAGCTGTGGCATAGATCAGCAGAGTTTGTACCCTCTATATTAGAGGGTGCGGAGGGAATGTAAGTGTCACCGAAAGTACAAAGACAAGATAGCTAAAGGTTCGCAGATTCTTGTTCGCAACACAGATCGTGGACTGCGTGCTAGAAACATCCAACACCTCAGACGCCCGAAGCCCCGACGCGTGGAAGACCTTGGGCAGCAGCCTCAACACTCTCTTCGACAGGCTTCTGGACAACATCTTGAGCCGACCGGACGCCAGCACTGCTTCGTGCGCATTGGACTGGCTGGTCTACACTGAAAGGCCACTCTCCATGCGAGAGCTTCAGCATGCGTTAGCCGCAAATGCCACAAGGCATCTCTGGAACACAAAAGAGCCTCTCCACCAGGCCGTCGAGCCTCTGTATCACACCGTCAATCCCAAGACGATCTTATCGGCTCTGAGAGGGCTTGTACAGGTCGACAAGGGCACAGGAGTCGTTCGATTCTTTCACTCGGCGGCGGGAGAGTACTTTCGACAGCACGCTGAGCGTTTCCCGAACGCGCAGGAGATGATCACCGAGGCTTGTGTCAGGATACTGGCATTTGCGTGCCTTCCATGTGAGTCAGATCTCGTTCTAATAGTAGAATATTTTCCGCTTGGATACTGTAGCTTTATTGGACGACGATATTCATGACTACCTACGGAGAAGGCGACAAGGAACAATGAGCACTCTCTTTCCAATCGACTGTCTCTGGCTCGTAGACAAATGTTCTACCCAGGAAACATACTGATCTCTTCCTCTACAGCTCCGAGCGAAGCCAACTGGGTTATCGAAGACTCTTCAAATGAACCCAAAAGACCATCCTCAAAGTCATCCCACAACGAACCCGAGTCATCCGAGGCGACCTCCGAGAAGGCTTCATCCCGCAGTCCCTGGCTCCCTCGCATGATGGACAAGTTATACCACTCATCTCAGTTGTACTCTCACTCCTACCAGCCGCAGCACAACCCGTTCCAGGTCAAGCTACAGATGCCGGCCAACCAGGGTTTCTTCAGGTCAGGTAGGGAATACGAGGAGAAACTGCATGTACAGCCGCTGCTCCAGTATGCCGCATGCAACTGGGGTTATCATGCACGATCGTGCCCCATGGATGACAATATCATGGACCTCTTGCAAGATCGGGTCAGACTTGATGGAATATGCCAGACGCTCAGATACGAGCACAGTGGCTACAACCCGAAGTTCCCCAGAGACGTAACTGGGCTTCATCTGGCGGCCTACTTCGGACTCAAAGACGCAGCGATCCGTCTTTTAGACGCTGGGGTTCCTGCGAGCTCGAGAGATAGCTATGGCGAGACACCGCTGTGGTGGGCAGCCAAACACTACCAAGAAGAAGTAGCGCGGCTGCTCAGTGAGAAGGACAAGGTCACGCTCCATCTCCTCATCCGCGCGAAGCAGACTTCTCTGGTCGAGTTCCTGCTTGACGTTGGGTACAACGTTAACACGACCGACATCGAGAAGTGGACGCCCCTGCACGCTGCGACCAAAGAGAAGGATGTCGAGATGGCAGAGCGGCTAATCCAAGCCGGGGCCGATGTCGACGCCACGGATGTCAACGGGACGAGGCCGCTCAGTCTAGCTATGGAGATGCGCAACTATGAGCTCATCCATATGCTGGTGGCCAACCAGGCTGACACGAAGGACCTTGATCTAGGAAAGATCCGAACAGTGTTTGGTCTGCAGTCTGGCGACTCTCTTGAGATATACGAGGACAGGCATCATGGCACGAAGATTATGAGGCAGATTCCGAGGGAGTTCTCGTGGACGTCGGTTATGCAGGCTGACACTGGACGCTACTCCATGTAAGTGAACGGTGCAAATGAGCAGACTGTGTTTGGTCATGTCAGCTCACTAGAATCACAGGAACCTCTCAAAGTTGAAGTTGACCAAGAAGATTCCTGGTCTTGAGGAGCTGGGGCTTAACCACCTGCTGGACTTCAAGAGGGAGCAATCGGTGCCGTTTGTGCTTCGAGTGGAACAGCTCACGGAGAACACGCAGGAAGGAAGTGTATGGATTTATTACCTGGAGATCGCGTTGCCATCGGCTGGTCGCGACCATGAGATCCATATTTGCTGGAATGTCACGTCCCACACCGACAAGAATGGGCTGCAGTCATGGAGGACAACCGCGCATCTGAGCAACCTGCAGAGACTCTGGCTGCCTGAGAAAGGCATCGAGCTTTTTCAGAGTTTGGTCTCTGAGGTTCAGAAGCGGTGGAGCTCCATTGTCCGGAATACCATCAACAACATCAATGGTCAGGTATGCACTCAGACCTTCTTGGGATATTCAATTTCGGGCTAACAAGGAGAAAGCGACGCGGTGAGGTTTTGGAGGCAAACGGCAGCGATCCAAACCTCCTCGGCACGTTGCTGAAAGACGCATTGAGACCGGTCCACTATCGACGCCGGTTACAGACCACCGTTACCGAGGCACAAAAGTTTGCGACTGATTACTGCAACCGCCATGACGAGGTTGCCGACCTTGACGGCCTTCTGAAGCAGATTGACGCATTCTCTGATGATGTTGGTAACTACATCGGTCAACTAGATCAGATTACAAGGGATCTAATCCAAATGGTGGGCATGCACCCGGGATCTATACGCGCCATACTTACACTCATTCAGGAATTCAATCTGGTCTCCATCAATGAGGCCCGGCAGTCTGTGAAAATGGCGGCGAGCTTGAAGAGATTGAGCTGGATCACAGTGGGTAAACCGCGATGCACATGGAGGCTGTGAATACTTACGACACGTCTAGTTCATCTTTCTACCTCTCACATTCATAGCAGTAAGCGGTATTTCATTCAGTTATCCCGTGACAACTGCTAATCAGACTACTCTACAGACATCCTTTGGGATGAACATTGATATCCTTTCTAATGATCCCCCCTGGTATTGGTATCTTCCATTTGCCGGAGTCACCATCCTTCTCACTTCGGCGGTGTGGCTTCTCTTCAAGTACAGCAGGGTAAGCATTCACATGTACCGTTTTCTTCCGTGCCTTACTCATACATGTAAATCCAGTTGGAGGATATGATCGAGAGGTCGATGGGTAGAGTACTGTCGCGGAAACAAGCTGATAGCGATGGACGGCCAATGTTTCATTTTTGAAAGTTGGATCACACTCAGGGCTCACGTTCGGTATCTTCGGAGAAAGGGGTATCATTGGTTATGATTACAATAATGGAGCTGCGACATCCGCATGTTGTACAAGAAACTGTGCCACTAGTCTTACACTTTCAATATTTCTGGCTCAATCACACGTCGTGGATGACCGATGATACAAAGATTTGAACGCTGAACTCCTCTCAAGGAGCTCTTTCGGTGTGCCATACTCGACCAGTTCACCGGCATCAACGACCGCAACTCTGTCAAAGTCCACAATGGATTCCAGCTTGTGTGCGATGGCGATGATGGTCCAGTCCTGGAACCAGGATCGCAAGACTTCATCAATGACGTGACTTGACTCGTCATTCAAACTGTGTAAAAACGTCAGCGATTTGATAAGTTTGGAGACAAATAGCACGATCACACACCTGCTCGTGATCTCATCGAGAATCAGGACCTTGCCCTTCCGCAGCATGGCTCTGGCAAAGACCAAAAGCTGCGCCTCACCCTGCGAAAAGAACTTGTCGTCAATCAACGCATCGAGGCCGCCTCGTTCTTCGATCTTGCCCCAGAGCTTCACCTTCTCGAGGGCCTCGACAACATCAGAGTCTGGCACGGTCCCGCTCGGGTCGATGTTGAGCCGCACGCTGCCATCAAAGATGTACGACTCCTGCGGCACGGCGACGAGATGGGAGCGTACGTATTCATGGGGAAGGGTGGAAAGGTCGACGCCATCTATGGTGATGGAGCCGCTGTCTAGATCGAGCATGCGGAGGAGAGACAGCACTATGGAACTTTTGCCGCTATTGGTCGTGTTAGACACATGGTGATTGAAGTAAGGCCGGGGTCAATTGCTCACCTGCCGGTTCGTCCACAAATGGCGACTTTTTGTCCAGGTTCAATAGACAAGGAGATGCCTTTGAGAACAGTGCCCCCTGACCTGGAGATGAAGTCAGTGTCAAGTCCATTTCGCTGTAACGAGATAGACTTACAGATACGATGCTGTAACATCGCGGAACTCGACAGCCCCGCGACTAGGCCACTCTCCTTCCGGTTCAAGGAGCTCATCTGAGGCACCCTCAGGCTTCGTGCTGGCAGCAAAGTTCCTCACCCTAGCCACCGCGCCCAGCGACACCTCGAGCATAACCCAAGACGTGATAAGCGCCTTAATCACACCGCTGAAGGAGAGAACATTGTTCAGCGCAATACCGATGAACGCAGGTCCGATCTGTTCTCGAAGGGTCGTCACGAGAACGATCAGGATCAAAGCGATGACTGTAATAGTCATGTCCACGGCGAAAGTCAGCCACCGCTGGAGGCAGCTGAGAAGATAGCTGGGCCGCTGCGAGTCATCCAGGCGATGCATATTAGCCGCCTCGAAAGCGTCTTCCCATTTGAAGGCTCTAATGGTAGCGAGACCCTCCAGTGTCTCGATGAGCTGCGTGTAGAGAGGCGCCTTGTGCTCGATGTCGAGAAGACGCATCTGGCGCGAGGTGCGCAGGTAGAAGTGTTGGAGCGCGTAGAAGGCGGGGACGAGGAAGGGGAGGATGACGGCCATGTAGCGTGAGGACACGGACATCATGACGAAGCGGGCGATGCCGAAGACAACGCCGACGGCGACACCGAGAGCGGCGGCGGGGAGCTCCATATCTATGAGCTGGAGGTCTTGGCTGAATCTGTTGACGGTGACGCCGCTGTCGACGGAGCTGTGGAATGACATGGGAGCGCTGGACGTTGTTAGTTTCACTGCGCAAAGAGTAGGGGATGACTTACCGTGATGTAGTGTCCAGAAGAACGCTGTGGAAGTAGACGCCAGAGTGGTTTATGATGATGATGAAGAGAAACCTGTCGCGAGAGGTTAGCAGGAGCAGTGGTCGCGGCAAAGAGGTATCCGTACCATATACTGATAAAGAACGAGACAATCGATCCCACGCCGAGAGCGGCGTAAACGCCCACCCACTTGCCGAGATCTTGGTTTGGTCTCTGTTCATTTGCCTCTGTCCACCATTTGAGCCAGATGTCTGCAGAGCTCTGGATTAGTGATTGGAGAACGGTGGGGATGGAGTGGCCGAGCCTTACCGGGGAAGGAGTCGAAGAATGCAAACACGACCATGAAGCCGGCAAACATAGATAGGCTGAACCATCCCGCCGCTTTGGCGTAGAAGCTGTACATGGCCCAGTCGCCGAGTTGCCGGGTTGCATCTGCCTGTTCCTCCAGCGCGTTGATGATCGCCTCAGGGGGCTTTTCATTTCCCAGGCCAGATGTATCTACGGTTGCATCTTTCGAAGTATTTGACACAGCGCTTGGTTTTACTAGTCTGGAGAGTTGGCTGGCCGTGGACGCGAGTTCTGCGGCTTTGATTTGGCCGTCTTCGTTGAGGAACACCACATCGTCGGCAAAGGGGAGGCGACGGGCTTTAAATTTTGTGTCAGCTAATACGTGACGCAAGAAACAGAGGCGGTAACTGACAGTCTGATGAGACCAGGACCACGGTCGTGTCATTGTTACGAAGCAAGCCGTTGCTACCAAGGAGATTGCCGAACACGATTTCCTCTGTGCCAGAGTCAAGACCGCTGAAGACATCATCAAGCAGAAGTACCTCTTGACGTGCATACAAAGCTCTGGCAATGGCCTGTGATGGTTTAGCAGGGTGCTCTCGCCAACGAGAGGACATGAAAGAGCGTACCAAGCGATGTTTCTGACCGCCACTCATAGAAATACCCTTCGTCCCAGCTACTGTTCTGTCGCCGTTTGGCCAGCTCGCGATGTCTTGTTCGAGGGCACACGCTGCAATCACTCTCTTGTAACAGGCTTCTTCAAAGACTCCGTGGCCGATAACAATATCACGAACCGCAGCGTTTGGAATCCAGGCTGACTGTCCGCAGTAGGTAGCCCCTGAGAAGTTGGTGCAGAGGGTACCCTTAAAAGACGAAAGTTCACCTAGGAGAGCCTTGAGTAGCGTCGACTTGCCGGAACCAACCGGACCCAGAACCAGCGTGAACGCTCGACGTCGAATGCTCCAGGACTCAATGTCAATGACAGGTTTGGCATCGTCAGACCAAGAGAAGGACCCCTTCACGGAGGCGATGATATCCTGGGGAAGGCTTTTACTGCATGCCTCGGATTTGCAGACCTCTGAGAGCTCAACGTCCTGAATCGGGGTGGAAACTCTCTTCGAGGTCTCTGGGGCCACAAAAGATATTGAGCGTCTCTTCTCACTTACCGTGACCACTCTGGTGTCGGCCCTCTCCTTTCCGTTCAGGAAGTCCTGAATGCGCTGGAAAGAAGTGACCGCGGTCGCTGTGATGGGCAGGGCCATGATGATGCCCGCTAGAGGCTGGTTCACCAGTGTCAAGATGGAAATGGCTGTGAAGGCTTTGGAGATTGTCAAGACCTCATTCGATCCAGAGGCGATTCCCGCAAATGTGCCCAGCGTGAGGATCGGAGACCAAATCGGGGTGCAAATCACTTTTCTGCGTGTAAGCTGCCACGAGCAGAACGCCAGCTAGGCGGGTATGGACTTACTCAACATCATGGAGATGCCAAGGAGAACTCTGTACCTCTTGGACACGACCAATTCGGTACTGCGGAGGTTCTGTATGACGGAGAATGCCACATCATTGAGGCCGGATACCTTGAGCCACTTGATGCTGCCGAGGGTCTTGGAGGTTGTCGTGACCCGGTCCTGCGAAGCCTTGATCCATTGCGCGGATGCTTTGCCAGTGGGAACTGCCAAGAATCCCATCAAGATTATGGTGGCTTCAAGCCGGTTAGCTTTCACATCTGTGGAAGAATTTCGAAGAGATTACTGTACCAAATACGAGCGCGACTGGCATGGCACACGCGGCGCCAAGCTGCCTGTAGATCAAGTAGATACCGATGCCGATCTCGACGAGACCACCCCATATCTCGTGTAGCTGGTTGACGCCCTGGCTGATCTGCTCGCTATCTGTCCCGACCAACGTCAGCGCACCCGCAGGGCTGACGTTGGGCGAAGTCAAATCCAAACGCAGCGCCTTCTGATAGATGAGGGCGGTTGTGCTGCCCCTCAGCATGGCGGCCGTACGATGCGTCCGCCACTCATACTGGCCCGTCGAAACCTGCAACGCACCGTGTTAGTTACTTACAACAGAGAGCCATCGAAAGATCCAAATTTGGACATCAAGTTCTAGGACTCTCGTCTGAAGAAACTCACTGCAATACCGGTGTAGACGAGGACGTAAGCGCCTATCAAGCCAAAACCGCGATTGCGGTATTCCCGGGTCTGGGGCAGGCCAGCGAGCTCGATGGCCTGCTGGACGAGCAGCGGCTGTGCGTAGTTGAAGCCGATCTGGAAGAGTTTCGGAACGACGGCCGCGGACATGGGTCCCGCGAACACGCGGAGCCAGGTGCTGAACAGAGCGCCGGGCCTGGTTTTGTCGGGGACTTTTTTATGTTGGCAGATAGATTAGCCCGCGGAAAGATCTTTCTCGGCCCTACGACATTGATGTGGCCGTGGCAGCGGGAAATTAATTACCTTGACCCCACGCGTCCGCCAGTTTCTTGTAGAGCGGCTCGGAAGCCAGCTTCGGGTCGAGGGGGTACAAGTCTTCCAGCTTGAGGATGTTTCTGTACCCGTTGATGAAGAGTGACGTCAGCCAGAAAAAGACGGAGCGGTTGAAGGTGCCGCTGGTCACTTCCTTGGAATATCCTTTGTGCTGCGGGACCAGAATGCGGCGCTTCTCGGTCGACTCAAGCAGGATCATCACGGCCCTCAGGGCCAGCGTGCAGGTGAAGATGGCCGGGATGGTCTGGTTCGGGCCAAGCATCCACAGAGTGCGGGCACGGGCGGTGTCCAGCAAGACGGACAGGAAGAGGTACGTCGAGAGGACGAAGGACGGTCTCACAGACCGGTCGTGTTCGAGCCATGATAGCAAGCCGACTCCCAGCGAGGCGAGCAGACCCAGAACAGCGGCTGGAATCGTTGCTCGGGTGTGCGTGATGGCGGCAGACGAAGTGGTGGCCCAGAGAACGAGCAGAGCAAGGTTGAGGGCTACCAAACAGATGGATGCACACTTATTTTGCACGCTTTTCGTCAGCTAGAACACCCAAGAAGGAATTGACAGCAAAGTCAAATTTGTTTGTAGTAAGGTGGCAGGACGAACAGCTTTGAGAGCACGCTGGGTGCTGGCAACGACCTTGACATCGGCCCCGGCGAGGCGCAGGGCGCAGGCGGGAAGGACCAGCAGCAGCAGACAATGCAGGGGAACCGCGAGAACGGCCTCCTCGAACAGCAGCGTAAAGTCGAAGCCGCCCCGGCACTCGTCTCCGGCCCACGGGCCGAGAGAGTCATCGACGCCGGCAGGACAAGCCGGTTGCGGGCCCCACATGAGCGAGCGACGGCACGCTAACAACGGGACAGCGGCTTCACCTGGTGTTTCAAGAGACTGAAAAGGGGAGGGGGAGCGAGATTTACTTCAGGAGCGGTACCCGTAGCAGATCTCTTTTTTCTTCAAACAAAACAACGACCGAATGTAACGTTTTGCTACTTCGTCTACTTGAGGTCTCTTCGTCGCGAGTAATTTGGGGTCCGTTGGGAGAAGAGAAGGGGAGTATCACAACTGCTTCACTGAGGGATGGGATTTCAGGTCTCCCTCGGGTTAAAAAGGGAAAATGGCTCAAACAAAAGATCCTTCTTTGAGTCAGAATATGTTGGAACAGCATGGCAGATAGGCAGGCCATCATGCAGTCGCCGTATTTTGCGAATTGCAATGGCTGCAATCACCGTAATCATAATGCATCAGCCTTAGGCAGAGCTCGCCATGTTCCGTAGTGTTCCGTCGTTGTGACAGCGCCGCTGCTCCGATGGTGTCGGGTGCCCTTCCAGGATCAGGATCAGGATAATGGACGTCTCGGTAGGCGGCACAGCGCAGGCTGCACAGCCACCCTGCCAATTGCCTAAAGCGGTAGCGGTCTCATCTTTTGCCTGATGGGCCAGATGACACTCTCCGTCTGTCTACCTGCATACACAACGGTGCGAAGCGCGAGAGCATCGGGTAAGAAAAGGGACGGACAGACTGGATGCCTAGAACACCCCCGAAAATAAGGCAGCGTTGCGCGGGAAAAGTACAGCATCAGACGAGTCGGCATCGGTACTTCGACGTTGGCCGTCCTGTTGCGGGGGTGCAGTGCAGTGCAGTCTGGATGACGATGACAGTGACGATGATGGACCGGCGGGCGCATCAACTATCTGAGAACCGTCCGAGTCTTGGGAGGTTCATCTTGATGAGATGACTTTTTGGGATGACCGAGGCTGGTCTCATGTAAGTGCGGGTGGCGTGTGCAAAACGGCGAGGCGAACAGCTATCAGCTCGCTCTGAAGATTGGCATAGCACCTTAGGCATAGTCGCTGGGCTTCGGTTCCGGTTTGGCATGTTATCGCCCTCATCAGTCGTCTGAAGTCGTGAAGGTGGGTGGGTGGCCGTCTTTTTGCTAAATACAGACTCACACGATTCAACCCCAGACAAGCGTTTGCGGAGGATAGAGTCATTTGGAATGGGTGTCTGGTCAGGACTGCTGGTGTTGCCGGCGAACGCCAGCACCTACACGTGGGAACGACGTGAATAAGAAGGGAAGACCCGACCTATTCTGAAGTAGAGGACTCGTCAGCTCCCACGTGACCTTCGTGATGCACTGAGGCCATGGCGAGCTGAGCATCACGGCGATGACGGTCAGAGGAATCAGATAGACGGCCGCCACGTGAAGTTGATAGACACCGCCAAGACGGGATCCGTTGGGGCATTCCCTTCTTCTCGGGTCAGCCAGCACAGCCTGAAAGATGGGCCTTTTCACTGCAAAAAAGAGGAGATGCTACACGGCAGCGAACCACCCTGAGCACCGGCACTTCTCGTCTCCTCTCCTTTCAGTCTCTCCGTCTCCCTCTCTCATATGGGGGGATGCACCCGGGGGAACCTGTGGCAAAGAGTGGAAAGAGTGGGAAGAGTGGATGCAGTGAATGACCCTCGACTTCATGCTCTCCTGCGTCTTGGGTGCTGTCTGATTTTCTGGCTCGCCGATCATCGCTGATGTGCTCCCGCCTCCTGATTCTCCATGATTTCCCAAACAGGATCGCAGCACATCCGTTCATCCCCCCCCTCGCTAAGAAACTTGGCTTTTTTGTCATTCCCAAGCGCCCCAGTGATCCCCAGAATGTTGCTCGAGGATTTGTGGGATCATATGCCAGGAAGAGAGAAGGGGAAGTTGCTGGCGGCGCTCGCCTCGGGCGCCGAGGAAAATCTCGACGAGGGACATCGAACCCAAGCATTTGGAAACTGAGCCTCTCTTTGCGGAGGCTGAGACTCGACAAGACCACAAATGAGGCCAGAAGCATCGCCATCGCCGGGTGCTGTTTCCTTGGCTCTTCCATTCTTAGCCTTTTTCTGTTGTTCTCTTACCCCATTCTCAGCCTCTTGCGAGTCTTGGCCGTGTTGCGCGACCATCTCGACCCCCAACCTTGGTTCATTTCTTCGAGACAGCAGCCCTTGGCATTTCGATGCACGAGTTGAAACACCGTGCTTTCTTCGTTCTCTCTCCCACTCTCTGTCTGTCTCTTTCACAACCTGCCAGGTTTCGCCAGGCTCGACCAGTTTCTGTCCAGGTCAGGCCCAGTGACAGGGGGGAAGGGGAAAGGGAGGGGGCCCATTTTGCAGCGTCGCCTTTTGTTCTAGCCCTCGGCATTTAATGTAGGAAAAGGGGAATAGGGAACGGACGGGATGGGACGGAATGGCGCAGCAACCGCGGCATTGCAAACAAGCATCTCGCTAGGACGTTGACGGTTGGATGCCCGAATTTTTCTTGATTGCACCAGGCGAGCGGACAATGTTGCAGCAAAAAGGAGATGACTTGCTACGCTGATCAAGGAAGAAGAACCCCGGCAGGGGACGTCAAAGCCAAGCTTCACCGTATCGGCGCATCGTACAGTAGTGCGGCTCCGAAGACAAGCTCGTGGGGGAGCGTCTTACTTGACACACGCTATCCTACCGCGAACGGCCATCGCAGCCGGTTTACCCAGCTACCCAGTCTGTCTCTATCTCTCAATGTGTCTGTGTTGCATTCGTGGACGGCAGAGATAGACCAGCAGGCCGCGGAATCCAGAATGTTCGCCCAAAGAGCAAAGAGCATGCCGCTTTCTTTCGCTTCTGCAACCATCTAGGGGCTTGATCTCCGTCGCGAGAGATCCCCCTGCTTGTCAAGAAACAGCCCAGGGTGCACCGTTGTAATTGTGAAATTTAGACTTTTTCGCTTCGTCCATGCCCATCCTTCAGACATCATCCATGGCCCAATAACCCACTCTGGCGAGAAGCGGATTGATTATTGGATCATTGGATGAAGAGAGAAGAGTGTGTGTGTGTGTGAGAGTGAGATTGGCGGTTGCAAGAGACAGAAATGGCGTTCGCGACAGCAGCCAAGCGCTCGTGTTGGGCGTGTTTCATCCCAGGTTTGACAACCTGTCCTCCGATCAAACCGCCCAACCCCCAAACCCTTCCCCTCCCAGCAAAGTCCCATATCATTCCCACCCCCGGTGGCTTGTCCCAGCACCCAAGCAATCGCATCATGGTATCGAGTCCCTACTATAGACAGGGCTGGAAGGGTTGCCGACCAACCAATTTGGGCCAGGGTGCATGGTTCTAAGTGCTTGTCGCCGCACCTGGGCAGCCACCGAACACCACTACGGTCTCTACCGTTTCCACCTCCATGTTGTACTGGACCACTCGAACCCCCCCGTTTGCTGCTAACCGTGCCAGAAAGAGTACATCCTCCGCAAATACACAGAGAAAGAGAATGAAGAGAGAGAGAGAAACCCGCTATGGCGGGGCCGTTCTGAATCACCAGCCGTCTGATCAACCGTCGCCCTTCCATGGCGGCTCTCTCACCGTGAACCCGGCACCATCAACCGCAGACGCACGGTAGCGATGCCCATCATCAATCGGCTACTTTGTCCAGCTTTTGCTCGTTGCGTCGTATTTTTGGGATATTGCCTCGTCTCCGCTTTCCCCGGCTCACGTCTCCTCCGGGGTGCTGGCGCGACATGGCGCCGTCGTGATGCTTGGCACACGCACATCCCATTCGCTCGCCAACGTCCTTTCCCTCAAACGTCCCTCTCTTCCCCGTCCGTCTCTGCTTGCTCTGGGCCTTCCATCTCGTTGTCCAGACTCCCCTGACTCCACCACCCCATGGCCCCCCAGCAGACAGGCAGGCGGGAAGGAAGGGGAGTGACATGGAGGAGGAGAACGGAGGAAGAGGAGGAGCATAGGCCAGGCCCATCATCTCTCTTGCACTGCCCTCCCGATGGAGCAGGATCAGAAGTCTGTGACATGGCTTGACATGGTGACATTGGGCCTAGATAGTGTTCACCTCATTTGTTTGACAAGACGTCTCAATTCCTTGGCACTGTGACCTCATGGTTGTAGCCAGGGCTCGCCGTCTATTCCGAAGGGGGATCCAGGCACCAGATCCGACTGGGAGATTCGCAGGCAAGCTTATACTCTATATCTATCCCCATCCCGATCCGTTTTCCTTCCTGCCTCTTCTTCTCGGCACTCTTCAGTCCATCAACAACTTTACAATTCTGGTTCAGGTCCTTCTCTTTGGCTGGTCCAGCTTTTTCCTTCATCTCATTTCATTCTCTTTGGTTCTGTGAACCATCTTTTTTCTTGTAGATTTACCAACAAACCGTTTCCTTCTACCACCCTCCGCCCTTTTTTCACACCACACACACACAATCCTTCAAAATGAAGAGCTCTTTCATCCTCTCCATCGCGGCCATCGCCGCCCAGGTCATCGCCCTCCCCACCCAGACCGAGGAGCGTTCCGTGACCCTGCCCGTCCGCGACGTGGAGTTCGCCGCCAACATCGACGTCCGCCCCAAGCTTCGCCGCGGCCAGAGAGCCGCCGTCACCGACATCGAGGAGCGTGACGTCGCCGAGGACGACGAGACTGGTAAGCATATCGGACATTTGTGGTCTTCAGAATCACGGTCAGTCCAGACTAACACCTGATATTAGAGGACGACCTCCCCGCCGCCCTCTTCGCCAGGAAGAAGGACAACGCCGCCGCTGCCGGAGGAGCCACCGGAGCCGCCGCGGGCAACGCGACCGCCGGTGCCGGAGGCAAGAAGAAGGGCAAGAAGGCCAAGGCCGCGAAGGCCCAGGGCGCCAACGCCAAGGCCACCGGAAAGAAGGGCAAGAACGCCGCCGCTGGAGGTGCCGCGAACAACGGAACCGCCACTGCCGGAGGCAAGAAGGGCAAGAAGAACAACGCCGCCGCCGCCGCCGATGCGGCTACCGGAGCCAAGGCCAAGGCTAAGGGCAAGAACAACGCCGCCGCCGGA